TTCTTTTAAAGTTGTAGATGAGCTTTCCCAAGAGTTGCCTAAGCATCCCTTTAAAATTTGGCCTTATCCAAAGCTTGAGTAAGCATAACCATCGATCTCGCTGTCGTCGGCCTCAAGGGCGCCGTCGGCGGACTTCTGAAAAATTTATTCTGTAGCCTTGAGAAAAACTCACCTTCAGTGGGGTCGAGGTTACCGTCGGCGGCCTAGTTCAAATCTCCAAATTCACTTGTTTTTGCATATTTTTGCTCCAATGACCCTAATTCATCATTCCTGCAACTTATTCCTGCAACAAAACATCAAAAATACATTTCTTTCAAGTGCAATATCAACAAAAATGGTATAAAATAGGTATGAAAATCTCAACATATTTTTCTTTGGTCATCATTCGAGGGACGTAAGTGATGTCGTATTCACTGAGCTCCACTGCCCACTTCAGTAGCTAGCCAGACTGTTCTGGTTGGGTCGATACAGATTTGAGTCGATGATCTAAAATTACCCAGATCGGATGTGTTTAAATATATTGTCAGAACATGCTAGCTAAGATAATCAGAGCATTTGTTAGTTATCCCATACTTAGGCACCTAAATTCTGCCCCTGAAGGACACGACTGGTGTAGTAGACTAGGAATTATTATTTCAGTTCCTCTTTGACCAACACTGAGCTAATGGTCTCAATGCCGACGCCTAAATATAGTGAGAGTTCTTCGTTCAATTTCAAGCATTAAAAAAGCAACAACGACATTAAAGAGCCTTTTAGAATTTTGAATGTTTGTTGACAATTAGGCATCCATTAGAATTTTATAGCCTTCTTGAGGGTTTTGAAAAATGCTACACAATTTTTGCCCAACCTCAAGATGAATCAGCATAGACTCACAATCCATCCAGTTAGTTTTTTTACTTCTCAAGTGTTTCAAAGGGATGACATATTGAGTAGTGCTTTGGCTTTTCCTATGTTAGTCTTAATGCCTTCGGGTGTTAAGAGATATTTGAGAATTTTTTTAGTTGAGGTTGCAAATGTACATTTTAATGAATTGAGCTTCATATTATATTTTCAAAGAGTTTGAATTTTATTTTAGAAATTTTTGACATAGATGTCAATGCTTCTACCCTTTCGATGAGACAATATTACATCTATTAAATATTGCTAAATTGGCACAATATTTTTAAGTCCAAAGAAAATTACAATATAACAATGTACTCCCTTAACTGTATTAAATGTGATTTTTTCAGCGTCAGCCCAGTGCATTATTATTTTGTGGTATCCATAAAAAGCATTAAAGAAGCTCATGATGGAGTGTCCGACTGCATAATCCACCCAAGCATGGATCCTCGGTAGATGGTATCTATACTTTGGGCAAGCGACATTCAAGTTGGTGAAGTTCATGCACATTTTCCACTTCTCGTTGGCTTTCTAGACCATGACTACATTAGAGACCCAGGGGTACTACACCTTCTGAATTTAGTTGGCCTCCTTCAGTTCAACACCTCTTCTTTGACTAGTACGGCTAGCATTGTTATCGAGCTTCTAATTCTTTGATTCACTGGTCAGGTGACAACATTCATGATTAGTCGGTGGCATGTGACATCAATTGATAATTTTGGCATCTTTGCTCACAGACATCATGATGCTCCCTGAGGGTTTGGATCAGCAACTCCTTGTACCCTGAATAAAAATTCTCTTATTAAAAAAGATTTACCATGTTCTCCTTCAGTCATCAAGATTTATAGGGTTGTCTCGCTGGTCTCGAGACCCTTTCACTTCAGTTCTATAGGTCAAGCGGCTCTTGCTCCATAATTCTGACTGCGTGGAGGCAGCAAACCCGTGTAACTGCAAGTCCCTTCGAATGGTGATCACTTC